GTTCCGCGTGCTCTGTTTTATATAACTGTAAAGCACTTTGGGATTAACCATGGCACGGTTTAACAGATCCTCTTCGAACATCTGTCAATTTCTGACAATGAGACGTTTGACCCGGTTCCTCTGCATTTTGTAAAGATTGAGGGATTCATGTGTCCTATCAAAAAGGAACTTTTCCCACAGTTTTCTCTTCTTTTCTTCCCTTTCTGGGCGTTCTACCTACTAGAACGCCTGATGGAACAATTCGTATTAGTCTATTTCACAAGAAAATATTAACAAAGAAATGAACCAATTTCCAAAGTTTTTTACTGCTAAGTCAGAAATGAAGCCTAGTACACTTCCTCACAGACCGAGCTAAGAGAATATGTACTCCAGATACGCTGGAGAATGAACACGCCCTCGAACAAAACAGTGCGAGAAAATGGCCTCCCCGAGAGGTTTCTCATTAAATATATGGAGAAATGCCCACAAACTCGGACTTGCCGACGGTTGAGAATAAGGACTTATTATTCACATTGTCTTTTCTAGGGGATCCAGCGAACGAATTTCTGCATCGTTGCCTAAACGCTTATATTGCACGAATGTATCCAGTTGCTAAGTTCAAGCACTTCAGCTCTTCACCTATAAGGTAAAGATAGACAAGGCTGCCCTTTCAGCCCTCTTCAATATGCATCTTCGCCTTCACTTGCTCCAGTGGAGCAGGTTAGATTGGTCGAACAATTAGGGACGTATCCAAGCGGATGCGAGAGCACCATCCTGCTCACTTTGTTGACATCAGTCACCGGGCAGATGTTAACCAAGCCTTTCGAGTCGTATATCAGCTGTCGGCTAGATACTCCGAGTTCCTGCGTCAACGGACATATAAGAAAGCAAAGGCAGTGGTCATATGGCTAACCAACCAAACTTTCTGCTCCCAGAAAGCGATTATACATTCCCTATAGCTCTTGTGCCGAGGACGAACATAGGATGTCTCTTCACACCTCATGCCACGCCACGCTACATGGAAACAGGCGACAAATAGCTAGTTGATTTGGGATTTTGGCAGATTCGTGATTAAATTCACGGGGCACGGCGTGTGTCGTAGCTCAATCGTTAGAGCGTTGGCTGCGCAAAATCCTTCCCCGCTGTACGAGTTCGACTCCCGCCGACGCCACCAGTTTTTCACAATTGGGTCAACTAAAATATCTAATTGTCAGACCTATCCTTCTTTCCCCGCACACACCCTCAGACCCTGATAGGACTAGATCGCAACACCTGACTTCCGAACACCTCATTTCTCTTCCCCATAGTTATTTTTTATTAGATATTATGACTTTCGTTACTCTAACATCCCCTATATATCTATAAAGACTTGATGCTGATAAATAATTGAAAGCGTACGTTCGCGAAACTTGACTTCATTAATGAAGTGAACCTGGGCTGAACGTAAGGAATATTTTGATGCACATTTTCTATCAAATATATTTGAATTTAAAGGGGCATAGTAAAGTAATGCAACCAATTCGCACAACATTATTGGTAATTTGTACAGAACGTATCATTTGGAGATGGGCCGACAGATGCTTGTGCAAGACTTCGCATTCCTTCGGGATTTAAATGTCTTTGGATTATAATGCAGGACAAGTGAACTTGCAATATCATTTAGATACTATTTTCTAATTGAAAATACACGCCAGAAATTCAATTTACATCTACTATAGATAACTGAATACGACTGTATTCAGCAAATTTTGTCCGCTGAAATGATGCCGACAAACTAACTCGAACAACGTAGCAGCCGATAAAAGCACTTTCTGACCAAGTCTAGCGTCTGGAGTGAGTCTGATGCAGACAGCTTCGATTGCTGTGCGACTTCCTTGTTCAATGTCTGCTGCTTCTGCGTGGTGCAACTTCGTAGGCAGCTGTTTTCGACTCGCCGATCTACAAACCCTAGACCAACTTTATGGGCCAACCCCC